AATCAGCTGGTTTACAACCTGTTTTCGCCAGCCTCCACAACAGCAGGGAACAAGGCCTCCCTGTGCTGTGCTTGCAGACAAGCCATATGCAGCATATGTTCAGCTGAGCCACTGGTGACACCCCCTGTCAGCATCTGGTAATTTTCCGAGCAGGGACAAGATTTACATGAAAGCTTTAACTCTGAAAGTCCTGAAGACTCACAGTCAAATGCATTCCAGAATCGTTTTTTTAACCAAAGAGTCAGAGGTTCACCTTTATAACAAGCCAATTTCAGCTGACTGTAGTATCATCTTTTATGCTTGACTGTACCAGACCAAGAGAAGGTGCTTAATTTATCAGAAATCCCACTACCGTTAGGCTGATAAACAGATCCCATTCTGTGTTCAGCTGTCAAGAGTCACAGATATTGTTGCCTGAGAAACACTGAAATAACAGCCGTCCTGCTCCATGCATAATATTCTACGTCTTCATTTTCCAACACTTAAGCCAAATACATCATACAAACACTTGGAAATGTGTCAAAATTGACTATAACATTTTTCATTGTTCTGAAGTCTTAGAAAAGGGGGATGGAGGGAGTTCAGGCTCTCCAGAGAAAGAAATCCTAAAATTTGCAGTAAGACATAGAAACCTCTACTAAATCATTCAATATCCTAATGAAGCATATTCTCTTTTCTCTTTTGTCTTGCTTCTCTCATTCCTTAGGACACCAAAGATACAACAGGGTTACTAACAGAAACCAACATGTAATTTTTAGCCAAATCTCATTTTACTGGAACCTCTGAACTTTTGAGACCTTATTATTTCAGATTTAACCTGGTATTAAATGAGAGAGTGAAATCCAGGCTTCAGCAAGTATTAAACAGTTTTGCTAACACATAGTAATGAGAGGGAATTAGCATACAATCAATTCCAGCCTCATTTCCCCTAAACCAGGAGCTGTTTTCCCAGGAAGGATATTGAGTACTTGTGACTACTTTCTGCTGCAATATTCTTACATGGGATCATGTGGTGCCTTCATCCTATGCTGAAAGTTTTGGAAAGTACTTCACTGACATCAGCAGTCCACTTTGGTTCCCATAAACTTCTACCTATTTTCTCACTTTCCTTTAATGAGTAAACAACTCTTACATCCTTAGTGTTGCTACCTTAGCTAACTGTGCTTAAAGTTACACAGAATACTCTCTAGCTTACTAAAGACTCCTAAAACCTCGATTTTGTTTGGGCTTTTTTTCTTATATCACAGCAGACAACTTGACAGCTATTAGTCCAAGAAAAGTGGCAGTCAGCAAGTTGCTTAATCCTCAGTCTACTTTACAAACTGATTTCATACCCCAATTTCTGTTAGAGTATATTGCCAGAGCTGTGATCTTGCAAACATTTTACATATGTGATTCTTTGTTATTGTATGCTTAAAAACACACTAATCTTAAGAGATAATCCACACAAATGCGTGCGCAACAGATAGAGAGTTAACTTGTAGGAGTCAGGGCAAAGGCCAACAGTGTGACTGCTTGTTTTGAAAAGATACGGTTATTAACACACAGGTGTATTTGAATTAAAGTGAGATTCCTCCAACAATCCCTAGAACAGAACTGTGTCTTGCTTTCTGGCCAACCTTAAGTATAAACCTGCAAGCAAAATTCAGATTTAGTTCCTAATTACTACCATTTGCAGGTGGTACCAGGACCAAAATCAAAGAGCATCTCCTTGCCTGCCTAGCATGGCAGGGTGTTGAACAGGAAAGGCAGGGGCTGCCTTTTTTGGAAGTAATTTTCCTTGCTTGTAGATGGAATTAAACCTCATTGCTTCAAGGTTTCAGGTCCTGTTTTTTTCCTTGCAAACAATGGAAGATTATGGTCTTCATCTGCATATGAAACAGGAAGAGTAACTTTTTACGGTGTGTTACAGCACTTTTCCTGTGCCAAATATATCTGAATTTACAACACAGACTAATGACACACTCTTCTCCCAAAACAAGTTTAAGAGAAAGACTAATAATTAATACTGGAGTTTGCCCAGGCTACACCACATCTTGGTCTCATTAAGATACATTTGGCCACTAAATAATAATCCTGGCTTTCCAAAATGTGAGCACATCAACTTAGTACTCTCCAGTGAAGTGAAGCCTACCTTTCAAAATGCCCAACTCACAGTGGAGGACAGCACTCCAGCCTGCTGCCATCAGTGACAACGCGCTGATGCAGGAGCTGCCAGTGGTTCGGCTCTGTGGCTGGGTGGGCTTCTGCCCAAGGGGGCTTCAGAGAGCTGGGGTCGTGCCAGGGAATCTATCCCCTCATGCCACTGCCAATGGGATCCCCGTGAAGTCACAGCGCACAAGGTGCCCCGTTTTACAGTGCGTAAGTGCAGAAATGAATAATGCCCAGATGGCTTTGCTAGCTGGGCTGTACAGACTATCTGCAACTCTAAAACCACATACACTTTAACAGAGGGGCAAAGCACACTGCAGCTAACACACAAATGATTAAATATTAGTCTCAGTCATGGTTTTGCACTTAACTAGAACAACTAATAAAGCCATAACTGTAAAATCTAATTAATTACCTCCATACATACCTAAATGTTTAGGTCTTCCAGTAGCCATTAACTATGAGATCTGTTGTTCTGAATAAGATTTAATCTAAATGTATGAAAATCCATTGCACAAAATATTGCCCAGTTATAGTATGAACCTTGTTCCAGAAAACCTGTTTCGTTTCTGAAAGAGCCTGTTGTTGCCCAAATTCAGGGCTCAGTCCTGTGAGGTGCTGAGCACTGTGTAAGCCCTTAAACACCACTGGGAGGTCTAGGGACTCAGCATGATGCAGAAGCAGGCAGTACCTTGCAGAACTGAGTCTTAAGTTAATATATAACAAACAGCTGCACAGCGGTGTGTGAAATCAACAAGTTAAACATACACTTAAAATAACTATAACAAGGGAGAAGCAAGCATATTTACAGGTGTATTTCATTAAAATCTTCATGCTGAATAGTCTCATATGCAGCATGCCTACGTATTTACCATATGAAAGCAAAGGTTTGGCGAGTGTTCTGGTCAAAGCAAAATGAAGCAGTCAAGGCAGAAATAACCTCAAGTTGCAACCAAAGACTTCTAGTTAAATATTGTGCAAATTATGAGTTGGTTATTATCAGCTGGAATCTACCCTGAGCAACCTGCACCTGACAGCATGGACAAAATGGATGACCCAGAACGGCACAAGCTAAATACACATCCACAAAATTTAAATAACAATGAACCTCAAAACTTTACCATCCAGCCCTAGTATTTACAGTTGTCAGTGGCAGAACCAAATGCCAGAATCATATCTGGTCATTTACTGTAACGAACAAAAGAGGAAGTAATCAAAGTTCTTTGAGAGCTGCAGAGTGCCACACTGCACTCTGGAAAGTAACTGGGTGCTCAGAGAGCAGTGCAGGTGGGGAGCTGACTTATCCCAGTGGCAGAACAACAGTGTGGAAAAACAGATACACTCCTGCCTTAAGGATGGGACTTGTATATCCCTGCTTTTGCTTTTGCTGCCTGGTGTACAGGGGGAGCAACTACATGCTTCTAGAGACCCACATTTATTAACCCAAGAGCCTGGTATCACATGCAAAAATGTAAAATGCCCCTGTCTTTTTGTTCTCCAGTCAGAAGGACCTGTGCAGCTCCCTCCTATATATCCCTATACAGAAGTCAAGGTAATATCTAACAGAAGATATGCTAGAATGTGATTCGATCTTCTCTTTTCCTCCCCAGAGGAAATAGCAACTTCCAATGCATTTTTTTCTGACTTAGCAAGATGTGGAGAATAACTGCAATCATGACTGCAAAGGAACAGTAATTAAAAAAGAAATTAATTTCTTTCACATTTCTTAGAGTTATTCTGTGAATAATCACGAGAATTTTAATGGCAATATTATATTCATGACTTAAAAGTAGAAATGCCAACAGATTTTCTTAGTAATAGATTTACATATCCAAGATAATTTTCAAAACCTAATTAATAATTTATAATGAAGTATGAGGCTTCATATATGTCTCATGAAATTATTAGTTACATTCATTTTAGCTGAAAGGTCTGCTGGAACCTCAGTACCAAGAAAATTAACTGTATGATAGTATAAAAATTAACTGCAACTTCATAATGTTTGACTTAGTTCAAAGCCTTCAGTGAAAAGGAGAAAGTAAACTCACTGCCGCACTCTTCCCAAGCTAGGCTGGGCTTTTACCATTTTAAGCCTTCTGAGTCATATACGACATTGATTAAAGTTAAGGGGACTTTCCCTCTGCTTCTATAAAGCTTTAAGTAAAGATTAGCAAAAAAGTTAAGTCCAAGTACTTTCCTTAGTCTCAAATCACTCACCAGAGTGCTCATCTAGGATGTTTGCCATATGACTGTTGATTTTGATCATTGTCCTGGGTGTGTGTGAAGAAAATACCACATCTCGCTTTGTGGTTTGAAAGTTTAGGAGAAACTGAAATGCAAATAAATAAAATATATGGCACAAGTCAATCTCCAGGCACTTTGCAAGTGCAAAGAGAAAGATTGAGATTCAGATCACACAGGAAAAATAAAAATAACGAACAACAGAGACACCAATGTCACAAATGCCATTTCCAGCAGTTTCTGGTATTCTTGCCCATGAAACCTCGATTATGTTTAGGCTATCAAATGATGTTGTAGACTGATCAAAGTTTAGAGAGCTCTGTGACACTTAACTTTCTAGTAAGACTAGCAGCAAAGTCCAGTCCAGTTTTGGCAACTCAGTAACTGAAATATCTTGCTGAGGTTCCTGCTTAGAGGACAACAGATCACTGTATTTGTACCTCAGCTGTACCTGCAGTCTCAGAATCTCCAAGTGCTTTATAAACTTTTCATGTGTATGAAGCCTGTTATAACTTTTTTTTTTTTTCTGAAATTTCCTTTATATTTTGAGCATGCCAGATTTTGACTTGATGATTTGAGATGCCAACATCCAAAATGTTAACTAGTCAAAATACAAAAGCAGTGTTCAAGTTTTGGTGAAGAATATTATGGAGAATAATCTCCACAACAAAGAACACGCAATAGAGCAAATTTGTATAAAAAATTTATTTTATGCAAATCTCAAGTGTTGATTAGGACAGAGGCAGCCAAAACAGCAAGAGGAACCTACAGAAGGCCAGTAGTCAACCAGTCAGAATAACCTGGTTCAAAATTACCAGGAAATCAGAACTATCCAGGCCTAATGATCTCATTTTTAGAAGTCTAATACTGCACTGTACTACTTCATTCTATCCTGTTGTATGTAGGTTTATACTATAAACTACAAAAGCATATTTTTCCAAAATCGATGGGATTTAGGGGCTTATGTTACCTACACAAGTCAAAGCAGAAACAGGGCAAGTACGTCTCAATGAAAAATAACTTCCTTGTCCTAAAACTATTTTCACTGTCTGAAATTGTGACAAAGAGATTTCAAATCACTATCAAGAGAATTATACATATCTGGCTTACTGAGATCTACGCACAGAGACTGAACAAATGTCCAATTGAGTGGAGTCTAGCAGAGTTATATGTTAGATGTGAGTACCTCACAGAACAGCAGACTGTGTTGAGGTTGGAAGGCATCTCTGGAGATCATCCAGTCCAACCCCCTTTGCAGAAGGGTTGAAGTTGGAAGGAACCTCTGGAGACCATCTAGTCTAACCCCCCTGCTCAAAGCAGGCTCCACTAGAGCTCAGAGCCATGATCTGTAAGGTTTTAAATACAGATTTTTGGACTCTCCTAAGGATGGAGACTCCACAAGCTCTCTGGGCAGCCTGACCACTCTCACCATAAAAAACATTTCTTCTGCTTAAATTAAATTTCCTGTATTTCAGTTTGCGCCCATTGCCTCTTGTCCTTTTACTGGATACCACTGAGAAGAGTCTGGCTCCATCCTCTTTATCTTCTTTACCCCTTCACTCCCATCAAGTTACACATTAATAAGATCCCCTGAGCATTCTCTTCTCCAGGATGAGCAGTCCCAGCTCTCTCAGCCTCTCATCATATATCAGATGCCCAGTTGGTGTTATCAGGTACTCCTCTGAGTTTTGTATCCCCTGCAAACTTGCTGAGGGTGTACTCTGTCCCATCGTCCAAGTCATTAATGAAGATATTAAACAGTATTGGCCCCAGTGCTGAAGTCTGAGGTACACCACCAGTGACTGGCTTCCAGATGGACTTCATGCCATTGATCACAGGCTTTAGAACCCAGCAGTTCAGCCAGTTTTAAATCCACCTGACTAGCTACTTAGCTAGTCTATACGTCATCAGTTTGTCTGTAAGCATGTCATCAGAGATGGTGTCAAAACTCTTGCTAAAATCCACTGCTCTCCCCTCGTCCACTGAGCTGGTCGTTTTGTTGTAGAAGGCTATCAAGTTGATCAGGCATAATTTCCCCTTCATAAATCCATGCTGAATTTTCCCAGTGGCTTTCTTGTCCTTCATATGTTTGGAAATGGCTTCCAGGAAGATCCACCTCCTTCTTGGGGACTGACCTGAGGCTGATTAGCCTGTACTTCCCCAGATCCGCCTTGTTGCCCTTCTTGAAGACAGGAGTGATATTTACTCTCTTCCAGTTTTCAGAAACCTCCCCCAGTCACCACAGCCTTTCAGAGATCATCATGACTGGCCTTGCAATGATATCAGCCAGCTCCCTCAGCCCTATCCCACCAAGTCCCATGGACTTGTGCATTCAGCTTTATTTAAATGTTCCCTGACCTGATCGTTACTGAGGATAAGTCTTCCTTTCTCCATGTGTTTCTACTCAGGGCCTGAGATTGCTCAAGATTGGTATTACCAGTAAAGACCGAGGTGAAGAAAGCGCTGAGTATCTCAGTCTTCACCATGTCTTCTGTCTCCAGGCCCCCTGTCACATCAGCCGTAAGCCCACCTTTTCCTAGTCTTCCTTTTACTGCTGATACACTTCACAGAATCACAGAATCACCTAGGTTGGAAAAGACCTTGAAGGTCATCCAGTCCAACCATTAACCTAACACTGACAGTTCCCAACTGCACCAGATCCCTCAGCGCTATGTCTACCTGACTCTTAAACACCTCCAGGGATGGGGACTCCACCACCTCCCTGGGCAGCCCATTCCAACGCCTGACAACCCATTCTGTAATGAAATACTTCCTAATATCCAGTCTAAACCTTCCCTGGCGCAACTTGAGGCCATTCCCTCTTGTCCTATTACTTATTACTTGGTTAAAGAGACTCATCCCCAGCTCTCTGCACCCTCCTTTCAGGGAGCTGTAGAGGGCGATGAGGTCTCCCCTCAGCCTCCTCTTCTCCAGACTAAACACCCCCAGTTCCCTCAGCCGCTCCCCGTACGACCTGTGCTCCAGACCCTGCACCAGCTCCGTTGCCCTTCTCTGGACACGCTCGAGTCATTCAATGTCCTTTTTGTAGTGAGGGGCCCAAAACTGAACACAGGAATCGAGGGGCGGCCTCACCAGTGCCGAGTACAGGGGTCAGATCCCTTCCCTGTCCCTGCTGGCCACGCTATTGCTGACACAAGCCAGGATGCCATTGGCCTTCTTGGCCCCCTGGGCACACTGCTGGCTCCTGTTCAGCCGGCTGTCAGTCAACCCCCCCAGGTCCCTCTCTGACTGGCAGCTCTCCAGCCACTCCTCCCCAAGCCTGTAGCGCTGCTGGGGGTTGTTGTGGCCCAAGGGCAGCCCCCGGCATTTGGCCTTATAGAAACTCCTCCAGTTGGCCTCAGCCCATGGCTCCAGCCTGTCCAGGTCTCTCTGCAGAGCCTCCCTACCCTCGAGCAGATCAACACTCCCCCCCAACTGGGTGTCATCTGCAAACTGACTGAGGGTGCACTCGATCCCCTCGTCTAGATCATCAATAAAGATGTTAAACAGGAGTAGCTCCCAAACCAAGCCCTAAGGGACACTTGTTGAAGTCTCCTTTGTTGTCCTTTATGTCCCTCACCAGATTCATTTCTCAGTGGGCTTTGCCTTTCCTAACCCCATCCCTGCATACCTGGACAGCATCTCCGCATTCCTCCCAGGTCACCTGCCCCTGCTTCTACCTCTTGGTGGTAGGTTAACCTTGACTGGCTGCCAGATGCCCACCCAGCTACTTTCTCACTACCTCTCCTTAACAGGACAGAGAGAGAAAATAAGATTGCAAAGCTCCTAGGTCAATCATGAGAGATCACTTACTAATTATTGTCATGGACAAAATAGACTCCACTTGGAGAAAATTAATTCAATTTATTCCAGTTAAAATAGGTTTGGATAGTGAGAAACAAAGACAAATTAAACACCTTCCCCCCTAATCCCTCCCCTTTTTTCCAGGCTCAGCTTCATTCCTTCACTCCCCACTCTTCTACACCACCCTGCCAAAATGATGCAGGTGAATGGGGGATTGTGGTCAGTTATGGTGAGTCCACTACAATTCATCTCTGCTGCTCCTTCCTCCTTACCCTTTTCCCCTGCTGCAACATGGGTCCTTTCTGGGCTGCAGTCCTTCGAAAACTCTTCCAGCATAGGACCTCTCCTTGGGCTTCAGTTCTGCAGGATCAACCTGCTCCAGCATGGTTCCTCCATGGGCCACAGTTCCTGTTAGGAAAAACTGCTCCTGTGTGGGCTCTCAGAGGGCTGTGGTTCCTTCAGGAAATATCCACTTGCTCCAGGGTGGTCCTCTTAATGGCCTGCAGTGTGGATACCAGCCACACCATGATCTTTCCATGGGTTGCAGGGGAATATCTGCTCTGGCACCTGGAGCACTGCCTCCCTCTCTTTCTTCTCTGACCTTGGTGCTCATGAGGCTGTTTCTCACGCTTTTTTCCTTACTGTTCACTCTCTGTGCAGTGTTTTGCCCCTTCCTTAAATATATTTTCCCAGCAGTACCACCAGCTTTCCTGATGGGCTCACAGCTGTGTCATCTGTGTCTCATGTGGGGCAGACCCAGCCTCTCTTCAGAGGCTACCCTGCAGTCCTTCGCTGCCAAAACCCTGCCATGTAAACCCAATACTCTCTTGTGTGCTTCCATGTGATGTTTGACTTCTGTCAGGAGCTCCCTGTTCATCAATGCAGGCCTCCCGCAATCTTTGCTTGATTGCCTGCTTGTTGGACTGGACCATTCTTGAGCTTGGAGGAAGAGGTGATTCTCAAAAGTCAAGCAGCTGTCTTCAGCATGTTCTCCCATGGGATTCTTCCAAGTAGATTCCTAAAGAGGCCAAAGTCTGCTCTCTTGAAGCCCAGGAGTGTGATACTGCTATTTTCCCTGTTTCCTGCTCTCAGGATCTTGTACTCTCTCACTACTGGTCACTGCAGCCAAAGCTGCTCCCAGCCTTCACATCCTTAATCAGATCTTTCCTGTTTGTAAGTATAAGGAGGTCCAGCAGAGTGCCTTTCCTCACTGGCTTCTCAGTCACCAGTGTTAGGAAGTTATTCTCAATGCACTCCAGAAACCCGGACTGCTTGTGTCCTGCTGTGTTGTAAGTTCCTCACGATAAGCAGGATTTCAATCGTGATGGTTTAGCATCTGGTAAAATTCATGGTGGCTGCAGAATTTCTGCCGTTGATTGCTCCTAGTTGGAAATCTGTTAGATTTTCAAAGGACCATTCCCTCTCTGGAAACTACTACTATATTTTACAGCCACTGCCAGCAGTCTCAAACAAAGCAAAGAAGGCTTTGGAAGGCTTGGACAATAACACACTGCTAGGAGTAATATGTTCATACTGGTAATCTTGAGTTCCAGCATGTTAATAAAACAACACGTGTTTCCCATGCTGTATATGTTCTGTAAATAAAAGAGTTGGCTTTCAGGGATGTTAATTCACTACTTTTCGTTAGTTTGAAATTCAACTGAAAATACAGAAAAATGGCATAACATATCAACAGTTCATACCAAATCCTTTGCTATAATCAGAACACAGAAAAACAACAAAGAAACAAATTGAAAAGAAGAAAAAGTAGGCATGCCTGCATGCTGCTGTATCTGTTGCATTAAGGCAAGGCATCTCAATCTTAACAACTCCACATAGTACAAAGCAGGGCCTGTAAGCAGGGCAATTCTCCCTGCAAATATTTAGGTTAGCAATTGCAAAGTAATCCAGGCAGAGCACCATTCATAAGACCAATTCATCACCAGGTCATACAAGGCAATTAGTCCTGGACACTAGATGCAGAGGCGAGCAGATTAGCAACCACCACATGAAAACAAGTTTTAAGTGATCCTGGTTTATTTTATATTTTAAAGCCTTTGAGAAGATTAATTCCTCAGCCCAAGAGCTGAGTACCTCGCTCCTGCTAAGGGAAATTGATGTAGTAATATTCTCTGTAGGACCTTGGAGTGATACTGCTTTGATACAGCTATTGACAGTACAGAAAAAACACCACTGTCCTTTGCTCTGAAAGTCTGAATTCTTTTCAACCAAATGAAAAAGTTCCTACAATTTTCTTTGTCCCTCTTTCTCTTTCTCACACAGTCATGCAGAAAACATATAACAGATTACATCCAAAAAAAAAGCAAAACCTGTTTATTTTTCAGTAATAGCCTATTTCATAAGAAAGACTGTAAAACCTTCATCAAGGACATTATCTCTTCAGTACTATCACTGGTAAGGGAGTTTCTAACACTGACACTGAAGTGCAGCTGATGAAAATACAAGAAATATATCTAATTTAAAAGATACCAGATAAGATGTCAATATGTAAAATAAAACCAGATATACTGTAAATAAACAGTGAAAGATCCAGGACAAGATTGTAAACCAGATTTCTGAATCTCATCCTAAAGAGAAAGTTGTTAGGTAGGATCTGATGCGTTAGATTGAACCAAAAAGCCATCTAACCAACTCTTTTGTCTCTGTGGCTTAAGGAGGAACAAGAAACAAGAAATACAGAAAAAAATTCCCTCTATTTTACTTTCCCATCTTCTGGCAATCTAAAGTTTAGTCTTCCTAAATCAGAGATTGCATGCAGAATATACTATTTTCTAGTTCTGGTGGAGCACTCTTCCATGAATTTTCCTGCTTCTTTTCTATTTTCACTAATTGTCTGGCTTCCACATCCTCGTATTTCAGTGAATTCCCATAATTAATTGGTGCCCTGGATGAAATGTATTCCCTTTGGTTTGATTTTAATCTCCTGCCCAGGTGATGCTGTGTCTCTTTGAAAAACCTGATCCTGTTGGAGGGTGCTGAGAGCTGGGTGCCTCCTGCCTTGCAGACATGTGTGTTGAAAGAGGTGAAGTAACAAACAGGAAGGTTGGATTTCCAGGAGAGAATGAGAAAGGGGAGCACATTTGGCAAGAGGCAAATATAGGCAGATATGCAAGTTAGGTTTCTGGACTATTGCCCAAATATTATATGATGATCATGATTGCTTCTTGTACCATTAGGAGGGGATTTCTGGTTTTTAACAATCTCAATGACTGTAATACAAAAATCATAAATAAATAATTCATTCCTTAAAAGCGTGATGTTCTTGATTTTTTTTTTCTAGCTCCTCCACATGCGACTCATATTTTATGCTGTCATTCAGATTTTAAGGAATATATCAACTCACTCAATTTTTTTCAAGCTGGAAAGTCAGAGCCCTACTGATGAATGCCACCAGTTCCCCAAAACTGTCATTCCTCTCAGTGGCCAGTGCACCAGGAAGTATCATGTTATGTGTTAACCTTTTCCCTAATATGTTACACAAGTGTGTAACAGTGAGGTATTTAGCCAACTTGGCTATTTTCTTCCTGGATAGCTAAGCTGTTTCATCAGTAACACAAAAATGTTTTAACAACACAGCAGCAAATCACCCAGCATGCCAAGGAGCCAGAGTCCTTGGTTCATTGTTGGGAGGTTACTTTTAATTACAAGGTCCTGATTAACACACTGGAACAAGGCAATAGCTTACTTCAAACAGTTCCAAATCATTGTACGAAAAAATGCTGACCCTTGTCATAAGCAAAGATAAGTGATGAAGACAAAAAGAAAATTGTTTCAGCTTTGAGTGAATTTGAAGTCATATGACAAGACTTTGCAGAAACCCAGTAATCTATAAAAGCCAACTTTCAAACATTAATTTTGTAGTATCATAAATAGCCAAACTCTTCCAGTTTGATTGTATTGGACAAAATATGTGGGTTAAGCTCAGCAGCTGCTGCAGTGTATCTGTCCTCCTTAAGTGGGTAGTTGGGTGAGCTGTTGAACATCTGAACTTTGAATATTACAAGATTCATTTTCTACTGCCCCATGTGCATAAAAGCCTTCTTTATTTTCTCATCATAGAAAATGGAGGACATATGAATGAGATGAACTTCAGAATATGTAAGCGGTGCTGGGAAGTTTGATCTACAGCCATAGAATATGAGTAAAATAGAAACCACTGAGATTATTAATTTATGAACATTTCTACCCCGTAGTTTCATCAGGAAAACAAATCAAGAAAGCTGACCAAGATAAAGGATGAATTACTTATTAAATCTAACAGGATACAGCTGATTCCTAGGAGGCAAATCAAGGTCACTTCTAGCTAGAGTTCAATGGCCTAGTGCAATAAGATAGTTTGGGTGAATGAAAGGAATGAGTTTGCTTTATATGAGATAACAGGTTCTTGCACACCAAATCAGCTCTTACTTGATGCTACCTGTACACACAGCAGTGAGAAAGTTGGCCTCCAAAAAGCAATGCTGGTTGCTTAGGAGCATACAGAAGGTAAGCCCGGTGTAGAAGCAAAGCCAGGTTACAGAGCAGTTAAACTGCTCTTGAATGTGTTTAATATAATTAATCAAATTCAGTATGTTTTCAGGGAGGATGAAGCATTTACATAACACAAAGAAAAAACACAGAAATGACAAATATCACATTCTGTCTGTCTATGAAAAATACAGGATGAGATCAAAGAGTCTTGCCTTGAAGACGGCAGCAATGGTCCCACAGACTCCATTACAACCGCAGGTCAGACACTTTCTGTCTCTCACATATGGAGGAAAGATGCAACACAGAGACAGACATCTCAGACACAAGTGATACTCTCTGAGTGTTAATCTCTCTCACCTCCTCCTACTTAGAGCCAACAAACTGCTTGGAGAAATCTGTCTGTGTTAGCAGGGACTGAATTTTCTCCAGGCTGGACCCAGGATAGATGAGACGCTGGCACTGTAGATACCAGCCTCTCCCTGCAGTTCTTGTGTGCTAAGTACTCCTATCTCTTCATCTGAACCTCAGACTCAATTACTTCAGCAAATTGTACTAGGAAAACTATGCAGATCTGTTAGAAAGCATAAATTAAGCAGGTAATACTAAATAAGTTTGGCAAAACACATGAAGCAAATGTATTTGTGATGAAATTTTGCTGATTTATCAATTTCTATAGAGACCATCAGAACACAGATTTGCAAGCGACTGTGCATAAGGACCAACTTCTTTCAAGATCAGTGCCATAATACACCAAATATGTCAAGCATGTGATGTGAGTGAATTTGTACATTCTCACTGTTCAGTTCACTTTCTACTTCCCAAACGCAAATTTCCGTGCATACTTATGAGAGTGGCATAGTCTCCAGATCCCTGGTGGAATAGTCTCTAGTTCTCTAGTGACTTCTTTAATGCCATGCAAAAAATGATTCTTTGTTTAATAATACTTTGACATGAATGTGTCTCTAAGGCTAGGAAAAAATACTTTGTTTAATCTGTTTTGTATTAGTAACTCTTCGCATTCTGGGTCTAATTTAACTAATGACCTCCAGATAGCTTTTCTCCGGAGAAAGACTTTTAATAGTCCTCTGTGCTATAGCTTCTCAGCCTGGCATTTTTCATCTGAGGTGAGATCCCCAAAGCTAACAGGTTTCCCTCTGATTTTTTTTTTTTTTAATTTTTTTTTTTTTTAGCTTTTTCTTTGCAAGGGAAGCCAAAAGTGTTGGTTATTTTTTCCTCATGGATCCTTTTTCAGATGGTCAGTAAGGCTCAGCTGAGCGCCCAAAGAATCAGTTTGACCCGTCTTTTTCCCCAGAGTTCATGGGCAAGGTTTACAAATACACCCCAAAATCCAGAAAAACTTCTGCCATTCCAGCCTCCGCCTTGCCCAGCACAGAGCAACTCAACTGGGCACTCTTAATGCCCCGATATCTATAGTCACACCTCTTCTCACACACATAGGGCTTAACACATAGGAGCTATAAAAACTCTGCTTTTGGTAAATTCATACAAGGAAGACTTACAACCAATATACTTTCCACATTCTTATTACCTACCCAGCACATCTACCTGGTGTTCATCATTAAAATCATCTATCTGTGGTTTGCACTGTATCTGCTGCCCAGCATTGCAAAGTACACACTAATCTCCTTGCAGATGGGGTTGCTTTTGCAAGTTGCAGAAAAAGGTCTTCAGCCTACCCCCCACTAAATCAATTCATTACACAACTGCCATTCAAAAGCTGTCCATGCTCCATGAAGCATATGAGGAAAACTTCTGCTGCCTTATACTGCCACAGGAGCTCACCCATAGCTGTAATTCTCATCTATTTGGGAAGCCTGTTAAAATTCTCTAATTAAAAACCTCTATGGCCTTATTCAAGTCCATCTCACAGCCCTTGACCTTTTCCCCTCAGCTGGGACACATATAGGTGTGGAATCTTCTGTATCACAGCAGACAGGAAAAGCATTATAGTGTCCATGTCCTAAACATCCTCTTCCCACAAATACTTATGTCTTCTATGCTTATTTTTGCTTTGGATAGACTCCAGTAACACTGTTTCATGAAATATAAAGCTTCTAAATCACCTGTCTGCTGATCTGCAATTGCGTCGCTATTATTTTCTTTCAAAAAAAAAGTAGAAATTCCAAAATTTGGAATCACTAATTGAGCAGGGAATGGATAAAAAGAATGCATTCTCATTTGCATACAATGACAATTTTAAAAGACACAAAAATAAGTATTTCTGATAGAGTCACATTAAATGGTTTTAATAAGCATAAATAATTTCCCCTTATTCCCTTCCCTTTAAGTATTCCATATAAAAGATATTCATCCAATTCATTAAGAGGCACCAAATTTTTATCTGAATAACAGACTTGGTTTATCATAGCTGCTTCATAAACTCTTGGAAATTAGTTCTGCTTATGTCCTTCTAGGGCTCTGGAAATGGAATATGCAGAGTGGCATCAAGGACTGGCAAATCACACTGTTCCTTGTGTGCTGAAATCTAAAGGACAGTTATATTTAGATGACAAAAACTGCACAAGAAACATGGACTGCTACCAGATACAGTAAATTGATGTTAATTTCAAAACTCATAGGACAAAACGTTAGTATTCTTATGAGATGAGAAACAAAATCCTGTAATTAAATATGAGATTCTCCAACAAGATTTGTGGTTCCTCTGAGAACAGATGGCACTTAATGCCACTATCAGAAATGATACTGCAAATTGGAAGAGAGGCAACAAGTTACCAGTTAATCACTCACTACTTTGGCACGTTTGATTGCTCTCTCGCTGATTGTACTAATCCACTGAAAGGCAAAAGGTTTTGGAAAGGATTTACAAAGTCTACAAGGAAATCTTCATTTCCAGCTGTCCCTAAGAAGTGCATCTATCTGATGCACTATGTCTTGAGAACTTAATGCCCACCAGTTTGCTTCACCTAAGGGCCTGAAAGAGGAGGGCAAGGAATAACTAACTCAGTTTTAAGTTCCCTTGAGCCTTACCTGCTCAAATAGTATGTTCTTCCCCCCAGAAATGTAGTCTGATTGTAAAAGGAGGAATTAGACCATTTGTCAAGAAATTCTAGATGACAGGCAACTGAGTCCACCAGAGGCTGCAATAAGCCAACAAGACCCTCAGGCATGCTGCTGCCATGCATGTGCACATCCTTCACATGGGATGTGGTGCATTATGGACACACAGCAAGTCCCAAGTTTTAGGGAGCACAGCCCATCACGTGCATCAGACAAAATCCCTGGCCATGGGCAGAATCACATGGTGAACCCACAACTTCCCAGGATTCCTGTATCTCCAGCCAGGAAATTAGATCAGAGTGTGACAACTGTCCACACCACATGGTGCACCCATGGTTTTATGTCTACCACAGCATTCTCCTGGAAAAACTGGCTGCTCATGGCTTGGATGACATATTCTTTTCTGGGTTTAAAAACTGTCTGTATGGCCAGGCCCAGGAGTTGTGGTTACTGGAGTTAAATCCAGTTGGCAGCTGGTCACAAGTGGTGTTCCCCAGGGCTTGGTATTGCGGCCAGTTCTGTTTAACATCTTTATCAGTGATCTGGATGAGGCAGTCGAGTGCATCCTCAGTCAGTTTGCAGATGACACCAACCTCTGTGGGAATGTTGATCTGCTTGAGGGTGGGAAGGCTCTGCAGAGGGATCTGGACTGGCTGGATCAATGAGCCAAGGCCACTTGTATGAGGTTCAACAAGGCTTAGTGCCGGGTCATGCACTTGGGTCACAACTATCCCATGCAATGCTACAAACTTGGGGAAGAGTGGTCAGAAAGGTGCTTGGTGGAAAAGGACCGGGGGTGTTGGTCAACAGCCAGCTAAATATGAGGCCAATGGCATCCTGGCTTGCATCACAAATAGTGTGGCCAGCAGGTCTAGGGAGGGGATTGTCCCCCTGTAGTCAGCACTGGTGTGGCCGCACCTCGAATCCTGTGCTCGGTTTTGGGCCCCTCACTACAAGAAAGACACTGGGGTGCTGGAGCATGTCCAAAGGGCAAGAAAGGTGGTGAACGGTCTAGAGCACAAGTCTCATGAGAAGCGGCTGAGGGAACTGGAGTTGTTCAGCCTGGAGAAAAGGAGGCTGAGGGAAGACCTTATCATTCTCTACTGGAAACTACTTGAAAGGAGGCTGTGGCAAGGTGGGTGTCAGTCTCTTTTCCTGAGTAACAAGTGATAGGATGAGAAGAAATAGCCTGCACCAGGGCAGGTTTAGTTTGGGTATTAGGAAAATCTTTACTGAAAAGGTTGTCAAGAATTGGAACAGGCTGTCTGGAGAAGTGGTTGAGTCACCATCCCTGGAGGTATTTAAAAGATGTGTAGATGTGGCACGTAGGGACATGGTTTAGTGGTGGACTTGGCAGTGTTACGTCTACAGTCAGACTTAATGATCGTAAAGATCTTTTCCAACCTAAATAACTCTATGATTCTATGATCTTTCCAGTTAGGTCTGGATGTCTCCATCACCGGTCTGTGTTCTAACACCGGTCTACTGGTCAGTGTCCCAAAATGCCACCTTTAGTTACATGTGCTACAGAGACACATTCTTGTTCCTGTGAGATGGCAGATGGAAGGAAAGCAAATGCTCTCTATCTGTGGTCAAATGAAGATCATGATAGTCCCATTTAAAAAAAAAAAGGAGCAAATAAATGGTAGATTCAGTCCCTGTAGGTCAAGTTATGGATTTTTATCAATAATGCTTTTGTTTCTTTTAATCAGAGAGAGAATTTTGGCTCTTGAGTCTAGTTTGGGGTCTACCCATAGGGTTTTACAGAACTGGTCCTGAATGGTTTCAAAATCATTCGCAAATGCAGCAGTGGTTTTGGAGTTTGAGGATTTAACAGATTTATTTGTGTACTCAATTCACTTCTGCTACACCACAGATCCACAAACTGTCACATCCATGTTCAGAGTAGGAGGCCTTGTGCAGTAGCTGCAAATCCCTGTTGAATAGTGACACGGTCTCTCTAATCCCTTAGGAAAATTAAAAGCAATTTGCAACTGAAAGTGACCGTTCCTATGGTGTTTCTAACCACGTTTGATTAAACACAAAACTAGAGTCTTCATCCATAATGACATCAGTGGCAGTAATTCTTAACAACTTCATGTGTTTCCTCTGCTTCTAGGCTGTGTCATGGTAAATCTAGTACAAACAGGGAACAGAAATGCTGCTATAAGCCAAGCAGGGCTGGACCAGTCTCTTAGGAAACCACGTGTGTGAGTACAGTGCAAAGTGCTGCTGGAAGGAGACATTAGGAGGTCAAAGCACATGGGGCTCAGATAATGTTCATTCGTCCGCCTTGTAAGAGGACAGTTTGCAGTACACAGGCATAAAAGAGCTTTTGATTCAGTCAAGCCCATAAACTGATATGGTGCCCTGTGGCCTGGCACTGCAACACCCCTGTTGTGATGTGGGACATTCTTATTGCAAAAGGGGAAGAATCTAACCATGAAGGCATGTATCCAAGATTGGCTCAGCTCCAAAGTGAATCCAACAATGAAAAACTGCCTAGCACTAAGGTTTATCTTAGGAGAATTTAATACTCATTTGAGGCAGAATCAAAGAGCCTGATCCTGTAAGATTAGCTGCAAAGAGGCAGAGTGGAAGACACCAAGATGAATGGGAATTCAGTGGGCTTTGGATGAGATCCCATATGAGCAAAAGGCTCCAGAAGTGAGACGCAAAGCAGACCACTGGCCTTTGCCTGTATAGGAAAGTTAGCCAGGATCATTTTACTACTAGTGCCGTTGCAGTGACACAGGGCACTATGTCGACTTCTTTGCTGGACTGCAGGTTTCCATGTGATGAACTAGGGGCTTAAACACAGACATTCTGTTGGGCAATGAAATGGCAGGAGGGACTGATGGCCCTGGCACACAGCATGGAGAGTGCGCTGTACCAAGAGGAGCTGTTGGCTCTCACTCGCTCCCTCCAATCCCCTTGCAAATCCCTACTTGAGTTGAAGAGGTATAAATTACTGCCATAGTTTTACCACTGTTTGTATACAAACCTCTACACAACACAAGTTATTCTATTTTAGCTTTATAACCATCGAGAAATCTTAATTTGTTCATCAATTACACCTCAAGATCTGAGTTCTTGGGCATGGAGCTGTCAAAAAGCTTCAAGAGGAAACATCAAAGGGAAGGGTTAAAAAGCAACCCTCCTTACCTTAATCTGTGTAGAGGCAGGGGAACCAATGGCCCCTTCCACAGCTCCTTGCATGGAGGAAATGTCCTCAGAGCTCTGCATGGATCCTGCATGTCCTGCCCTGCCGCAAAGATACAACCCCAGGCAGCAATTTTTCCTTCACATGACATCGCTGTGGAGCCTGCAGACAGGGTGCTCACAGGGAAGACTCAGGAGAGACAACCCTGAGGGGTGGCAGAGCAAGGAGGAGGGCTGGTGAGCGTGAGCACACATGAAAGCAGCAGAGGGTCGTGGGTAGGAGAGCAGGGGTGGACCAGTCTGGGGGAGATGTGAGAGCGATAGGGAAGGACCACCACATCAGAAGGGGGTGGGAGGAGAGAGCTGCAAAAAGGGCAGAGGGGCCTCCCTCCGGGTGGTGGTGGAGGTGGGAGTGAGCCAGCAAGGGGGAGCTGGGCCTTCCCCAAGGGATTCCTGTCTCCTAGGCACTAAGGGAAAATTTAGGGAAATATGCAGATTAAACAAAGGAGCAAAGAGCTATAGTAACATGGAAAAGGAAGCAGAAAGAAGAAAATTTCACTGAAACAGTTTTTATATAGTTTTTCACAGATTTTTTGTTTAAAGTGAATAAAAGCAAAGCAGCCCCAGACACTTTAAGGTCACAGGGAGAGCCAGCAAATATGCAGCTCACCTGAGGTCTCTCTGGCCTTGGCAGCACTGTGAGTGTTTTATTTTCACATAGATAAACCATTCATGAACAATTTTTCCAATGCATTAAGCGTAAACAAGCTTTTCTTTTGCATCGACAAGTATTTCTTCCTACCCCTGCGATTTTGTCTCCTAAAACAAATATTTCTATGTGTGGAACCACTGAAAGAAAATAAGCCAGAGGCTCCCCATTAATTGCTGAGTTTACCAGGACTTCTCCTGCAGTGTCTGGAGCCAGGGTCCCCTTCCACGTGTTTTATTTTGTGGCGTCTTTCCATTTTATGGCTCTTGGAGCAACTGGTCGTGTTTATTGATCTTTCCACACAGCTGTTATTTTCCTGCAGGAGCAGAGATGGATTTTCTGTGGCTTGATACGTGAGGCCCTGTGCGTCTCTGTTAAAGTGGGTTTGCTGATGCCAGTAACAGGAGTAGAGGAGGCAGCAGCTTTTTAAGTACTCGGGATTTTGTGGGTGTAAAGGAAGCATAAAATGCTACACACTGGCTTCACTTTCACTGTAAAAAAATGTGCTTGTGCGATGAATTCCAAAATCCCGTGAACAGACTAGCCCAAACGAGACTAGCTGTGGTACATAAGGACGGAGCGGAGGAATTGCGAGAGACCTCCGCTGGAAAAGGAGTGAGAGGTGGGCAGCTGCACAGAAGGGCGGTGGAGCAGCCACACAGAACAACTCCGGCCACACACGAGCAGCTCCCAGCACATCTCCTCATGTCCCAGACAGCACTGAATTCCCTTCAGCAACTTCTACCATTCCCTCACCCATCTTAACTAATTTTACTAGATCAGACATGAACAGGAATGACCTCATGTAGAACACAAGACCTGTCTCACGCAATAACAAAACCCACAAGCGCTCATGACCCCGAAATAACCCCAAACCGAGGACAGCATCACTCGACCGTGGATTATGTTTCCCAGTTTTCCGAAGGCCGTAGCCACACGGGACTCCAGAGCTGAACAACCCCGTGGCAGCGGCCGAGGTTGAGGTCGGAGGGGGAAGGGGTGCCCGCCCGTGGAGCCTCTTCTCCGGCCAGGCTGCCCCGCAAGGCGCCGGAGCGCAGCCACTGCCCCCCTCGGGACACGGCAGACACCCAGACCCGCTCGGCGGCTTGTGGGTGCAAGAGGAGCAGGATGCTGGCCAGGGCTCGTAACTTGGGGAGGGAAGGGGGAAGGAGCAGGAAAGGAAAGGAAACTCGGTAGGGAATGTATCTGCCTTACCTCTCTGCCGACTCCTCAGAAAGCGCAGCAGGCGCTTGCATGGACAAATCTTCCCCCCCCC